GAGCAATGCACTCAGACGGGGCATGCATCAACAGGCCTATCGGTTTGGACGCCAGCTATAAGTACCTAAAAGCCAAATTCAATACATGCCACCAACAACAGCAAAATGACGAAATGTACGTAACTTCTACTAGCGCAGACTGACAATCCTGTCAATCGGTGTACACTTCAGATTAATATTTATTTTTCTGAACGTTTAACATGTATATTGTTTGTTGCACATCTTCTCATGTCTGAAGAGGAGCGGGGGAACCTGCCTCAAAACTTTACACAATAAAGTTTCAACTTTCCCAAAGAAGCCCTTATCTTCATACTTAACTGTACGCCAATCTTGAGCCTAATCTTTAACCAAACACTAAATTTCGTCCTTACCATGAACCAATCTCTCTTTTCCACGGAGTTGTGCATACGGTCGTCTGCAGTGTTGGTGGTCCCTGTATTTATGTCCTGTTTAACGGACCATACAAATCCTCCTTACCGGAAACCATTTTGTCGTACACTTACGCAGCGCAAGTCCCAGTTGCGCGGTTTTATTCTAAAAAGTTTTGGCATTGACGCCCAAATTAGGAGGAAATTAAAAGGGGAAATAGAGGGGAAGGGGTAAGAAGTAAAATGTCGAACTTGAGCAAGTCGTCGAGGCTCTATCCGAAACGATCGGCAGTACTAGCTCTGTAAAGCGTCTGCACTATCCCATCCAACCTTGATCGTAGCTCTGTGACAGACTGCGGGATATTGAACTTGCGCTCTAGTGTAAAGGGTGTCAAGGTTGCTACGCCCTGTTGTCCTGAGAGATTGGCAAGCGCCATCTTCAATAAAGGTAACAATTAAGTTGGTGACCCGTCTTAGATACCCATAGACTCTAGTCCTGTGATTACTATAAGCTTTATTGGTTTTATTTTAATTGTAGGTTTAGTTTAGATTAGTTTTTGTTTAATTAGATGCTGCCAACGTTAAACATCTCCCGGCAGAAGTGAGCTTAATATGCAGTGAGCTGTACTATCGTTTATTCCTTGACAATGGTCTCGTGTTAGCGTTCGCAAAGTCGAACAAATAAGCAAATGATTCCGGAGAACTCCTTCCTGCCTCCCATATATAACTACTATGTACTACTACTAATACTACTATAAACTAAACTATCTTAACTAAGCTTAACTAAACAAAACTAATTAAAATAAAAATTTAACTAAAAAACTCAACTTTTACCAGTATAACACTGTAAATTGCTCATCACATTGTACAGCCTGTTGACCACGGAAGCCCTTAAGTCTTAACTTCGGTCTTCATCCATGGAACTGCCTGCGACTAACCTTACGAGACTTTCCACTATTAACTGAATAAATTTACTCATTTTCCTAAAGGACGCCTTTCCTTGAAATTACATTTCTCGGGAGG